ATTTTGTTCTACATTTTTCTCCAGCTCTGTCCAGCACCCTCTGTTGTGATCCCTGTCAGAGCAGTCAGTGATGGTAGCCGAGCATCGTCTAGTTGCACTGGACTCAGTGTGGTGGAGGCCATGGTGGTTGCATTAGTCCTCTGGACTAATATTTCCCTTGTATATTGTTTTCTGCATTCTCCCTTGTTCCTGAAGGGTTGAAAGCAGTGGAGTATCTTAGATGGCTGCTCACAGGCTTTTAAGACCTCAGACGCTACTCACCAAGGTAGAATGTAGAACATTTTCTTTATAAACTCTGTTACGCCAATTGAGCTAGATGTTCTGAGACCATGGTCCCCACAGCCCTCTGCCCAGCAACTTGGTCCCTCAGGGAGTTTGGATGTGTCTATAGAGCTTCCATGACCTTTCCTTGTACAAGCCGTGCTGGCTTCCCCAGCATTGTGTACTGTCTTACCCTTCACCAAAGTTACCACTTATCTATAGTCTAGTATTTCCTCCCCCGACCCTCCCATCCCCTGCAACCATCAAAGATTGTTTCTTTTTTTCTGTAAACCTTTTCATGAGTTTTTACAGTAGTGGTCTCATACAATATTTGTCCTTTTGTGATTGACTTATTTCACTCAGCATAATCAAAACAAAGACATTTTTGTTTAAATGGTTTAAAAAATTAAACCAGCAATTTAAAAATTACAATTATCCAAATCAGGCTAGTAATTTTGAAATATAGTGCTTAAACTATTTTTTTGCCAAATAACTAAAACTGCAATTTCAAGGTTACTTATTGTTTAAAGATGGCTACCAACCAGCTGCAACGAAAAAACTTTTAAAAGCATGTTTCACTTTTAAATTAATGACAAAAGGAGATCAAGGGCAACATAAACAGATTTTTTTTTTTTAAATAATTTATGTAATTTTTTTTTTTATTGTGCTTTAGATGAAGGTTTACAAAGCAAATTAGTTTCTCATTAAGCCATTAATACATACTGTTTTGTGACACTGGCTGCCAACTCCATGACGTGTCAACAGTCTCCTCTTCTCGACCTTGGGTTCCCCACTGCCAGCTTTCCTGTCCCCTCCTGCCTTCTCATCCTTGCCCCTGGGCTGGTGTGCCCATTTAGTCTTGTTTTGTTTTATGGGCCTGTCTAATCTTTGGCTGAAAGGTGAACTTCAGGAGTGACTTCAGTACTGAGTTAAAAGGGTGTCCAGGGGCCATACTCTCGGGGTTTCTCCAGTCTCTGTCAGGCCAGTCAGTCTCGTCTTTTTTTGTTAGAATTTTGTTCTATATTTTTCTCCAGCTCTGCCTGGGACCCTCTATTGTGATCCCCGTCAGAGAATTCGGTGGTGGTAGCCAGGCACCATCCAGTTGTGCTGGACTCAGTCTGGTGGAGGCTGTGGTAGTTGTGGTCCATTAGTCCCTTGGACTAATCTTTCCCTTGTGTCTTTGGTTTTCTTCATTCTCCCCTGCTCCAGATGGGGTGGGACCAGTGGAGTATCTTAGATGGCTGCTCACAAGCCTCCAAGACCCCAGACGCTACTCACCAAAGTAGGGTGAAGAGCATTTTCTTTATAAACCATATCATGCCAATTGAGCTAGATGTCCCCTAAGACCATGGTCCCCACAGCCCTCAGCCCAGTAATTCAGTCCCTCAGGGAGTTTGGATGTGTCTATGAAGCCTCCATGATCTTGCCTTGGCCAGGTTGTGCTGGTTTCCCCAGCATTGTGTACTGTCTTAACCTTCACCAAAGTTACCACTTATCTATTGTCCATTTAGTGTTCTTCCCTACCTGTCCCTCCCCTCCCTTGTAACCATCAAAGATCGTTTCTTTCTGTGTGTAAATCTTTTCATGAGTTTTAATAATAGTGGTCTCATACAGTATAAAATAAGTAATTTAATTTAATATTTCATGCCAAGAATTTTTTTAGTTTTTATTATTTTTTTTTGCACTTAAAAAATAATCAACTTTGAGGCACAGTTCACATACAATAAAATGCAGAGTACAGTTTCATGGCTTTTGACCAATGTATATATTTGTATAACCACCCCCCTAATCAAGAAATAGAACACTCCCACTGCCTCTCTCCCCACATCTGGAGACCTGGTGGTGCAGTGGTTAAGAGCTCGACTACTAACCAAAAGGTGCCAGTTCAAATCTATCAGCTGCTCCTTGGAAACCCTATGAGGCAGTTCTACTCTGTCCTATAGGGTCACTATGAGATGGATCAACTCAACAGTAACGGATTTGGTTTTTGGTTTCCCTCCAATCTAGGCAACCAATGAACTGATTTCGATCACTATATTATATTTAAAAATTCCTTGATCCAAAAATAATGGCTCTTCAAAGTTCCCAGTGTCTCTACTGGACGTATCAAGTCCCCTAAAGGTTTCTGAATCCAAATCCAATCCACTCTCAGCTTCTCCTTTTCCTGACACATCTTTGTTCAATTCATAAGGAGTCCCTGGGAGGCGCAAATAGTAAAGCGCTTGACTATTAGCCAAAAGGTCGGCAGTTCAAACCCACCCAGAGGTGCCTTGGAAGTCTGGCCTGGCGATCTGCTTCTGAAAGGTCACAGCTTTGGAAACCCTATGGAACACAGTTCTATTCTGACACACATGGATTGCCAGGGGTTAAAATCAACTCGATGACAACAGTAACAAAAGACTATGTTTATCCAGTATAAGGTAAGATTCTAGAACAGGAGAGAAGCTTGAAATACACTGTGCAATTTATACATGTACAAACATATGTAACTGTAAGGAAAGGTTTCATGTTATACATATCTGGACTTCCTAATTTTATTTCTATTGACATTCCATTGTCCTTCCTAGAGGGTGAAGGCCCTATGCAGAAATATATTAATTACAACGACATATAAAATAAAGTCACAACATGTTATAGAAATGAGTCTGAGGCAGTAACCTCGATCTTTACCTAGGAGCTTGGTATAAGTATTTCGTATGTAACATTGTCCTAGTAGCTGTAGGACTTTAAAAAATACTGTATTGTTAACAGACTTCAAGAAGTCTACAATCTACTTGAGAAAATCAGATGTATTCACATAAAATAAAGAACTTAGTGATGACAGAACTAGTTCAGGAAATAAATGAGTAGACTACAGCCTGACCATAGGGAAAAAAATGATTGGAAACAAAAGTGAACAGTTTATCCTAGATACAATAATGATGAAGGAAGAGTTTGAGGTGAAGGGCAATCAAACACTAAGAAAGAAAGGACTGGATTATAAAAGTCATGAATGCCAGGGCAGAGTAGGAACTTAATTGAATAGTTATTTAAAAGAACATTTTTGAGAAGGGACGCGTCATGATAAAACCAGTGCTTCAACTGACAACACACAGGCAAGATTACAATGGGTGAAAGAAGAGATACAGGATGGCAGGTTTTACTAATGGGGTTCTCCCTTTTAATTGAGTCTAGCATATAAATTTATTACACAGAAAAATTAAGGATTCTTTACTTTTCAAGGTGTCCTTTAAATAGCAATCAATTTTCATTAGGCATCTGAAATACTGACTTTTTATCAAGCATTTGACACACAAGTGTTTATTTGCACTGAACTTCCTTAGGAACACACCTATTGAGTAAGATACTCCTATGCTTAAGTATTAATGATTTCCTGTATTCATGTTATCATGTAAACACATTAGTAAACAAGAAAAACCTTCTTACCTTCCAATTCCAGGTAATGTATCACGAAACCATGACAATTCCAGTTCCTGTCTCTTCTGTCTGATCACTGTACTGATTTCATTGACTTCTATAAATTCTGTACTAAAAGATAAAAACTTAAGTTCAGAGAAACAATTGGATTATGCAAAAAAAAAAAAAAAAAAAAAAAAAAAAAAACCAGCAGGGGTTTATACCTAGCATTATGAATCCCATTTAAAAGAATAAAAAATTTTTTTCTATTTAAACACTTTTAAAATGAGCTCATAAAGTTAATAAGTAAAATTACAAATCAAAATTATATTTTGTGGTTCATAAAAATAATGCTTTAATTTCAATCTTAAACGACAGATTAAAAAAGAAGTCAATTTAGACTAAAATGTTTATTATCGAGAGAAATAAAGTGACACTATTTCTGCTCCATGTACCAAAGCTGCTGCAAGCAATTCAGGCAGAAATTTTAGATGTAAACAGTTTCCCACCTGAAACTAAGCATATTGGGGGGGGGGGTAGATAAAGGAGGGCATGGTTACTATAACAAAAAATAGGTATAGTTCAGCTTTTCAAAAGGCTTCTCAAGATTTTCTTTGTTATCTTGCTAAACTTGTCTTGCTTTGTTATCTTGCTAAAATAAAATCACACAATCTTATTCTGTTTTTGTGGTTTAACCAACTCCATATGACTGTAAAACCCCAATTTAATTTTAAATTCCACAAATATCAACTTAGTGTCGACATCTCAGTCACTATGGATTCAAAAAGAGTTCTGCTTTATTAGGTACTGTACCCATAACTTAACAAGGAGACTACTTCTCTATCATATGAAAAGCTTGTGTAGAACAACTTACTAACAAAAACAATTCCACTGGCATAGGCAGTCATTGCGTAATAGGCTCACAGGACAAAAGGTTTTCTCTTTGGTAGAGGTAGTCTAATTTTCCAAAAAACAAGGTGGGCTTTCATAATTTTTGTCTGCAGCTGAGAGTTAAAATTTCTAGCAAAAATTAATTACAGTGATTAAAATAGCATATATAAACATTACAAATTAAAAGCAGAAAATACTAACCAGTACACTCTATAAGAAGATTCTCCAGTGTGACTACTAGAAGAAAATATATTGGAGAAAAAATGTCTGAAGCACTGATTTGTACAGTTGGATCTTCGAGGCTAGAAAAGTAAAAAATGGTTAATGAAACAACAAAACCTCCATGATAGTTAAGTGATACTTATATTAAAATATCTGATATACCTGAGACACTGGATATATACCAAATAACCATCAAGTATTATTATCTAAGAAAAATATTTTTCTTTATTTCAACAAACCTTATTTATCTTTATTGTTGCATTTTTCTTTTCCTGCGTTTCACTGTATGAAGAGTTTCCTATAAAAAGACACAAAACGACTTAGTTACCTTGTCTCAATATCAATGAATTTGGTGTAGGACCGGGTAATGTTTCATTCTGTTAAACACAAGGTCACCATGAGTCAGAACCGACTTGATGGCAACGAACAACCATCATCTTGTCTTAACTTTTACTTAAAAACGTTGTAACTAGTATGATTTCTAGCATTTTGTCAAGACAAAGTTAAAATATGTAAAATAGTTTCATTCTGAATAATAGTACCTGCATTTATATAATTTTTCCAAATGGTAATTTTACCGTATCTTGCTAAACTGCAGCTAGAGGAAAATATAAGCGACAACAATACAGACATCTGGCCAACACTTCCTGCCACCATATGCAAACTCAGACCATCTTGTAACAAAAAGTATATACAAGCAGTCAAACTATCTGGTATAAATAATATACTTAGTATTTCATTTCCAGCTAGTATGGAAAAAACAGGTACTGTTAACTCACCTCAAGCAGGAGCTGACTAGGGATGGCTTCTTCACAGTCCAGCTCATGAGCTGAGAAAAGGAACTGGGGCTACCAGCACTTGGCAACCATAAGTCACTATTTAGCCACTGCCAGCTGGTACTCATTTCAAGTAAGTACCTTCCTTTCCCCTCAATCTTTATAATTACAGGGAAAAGTAGAAGTATTGTTTGAAACACCCTTCTGTTTCAATGTTTTTGGCTGTACTGCTTATGGCTTTTTTGTGGTTGTTTTACCTTTCCCATCTGGAAATTTATTTTAGGGGCTATTCCAGACTAAGGAAGATAAAGGATAGTTTTTGCTAACCATAAAAAATTGTGTTAACATCTTTATAGATTACTGCTCTTAGTTTTTCTTTACTATCAGGACTGGGTTGTTAGTCATCTCTATCAATCGATTTGTGGTCTGCAATAAACTGTGCTGCTGGTACTGTCACTGCTCTTTCCTCAGAACTCTGGAAAAAGTCTACAGTGCAAATGACAACTGTCTTTAGCCTTCATCTCTGCTTCCTCACAAGGGCCTACTGACTTTGTTCAAAATTCTGGGGATATATGCCATTTAAACATGGCTGCACTATTGACAACTGCAGCTCCCACAGGCCTCTATGCTGCACAGCATGTTGAGACTTGTCCCCAACATGTTGAGACTTGTCAGGACTTGTTTTCCCAAACCTACTGTCCCGTTACTGATTGGCTTGTTTACCTGAATTCCTTCTCCCTTGCCCGAAACTTACTGTTACTCACCCAAAGCCCACTGTTCTGTTATTTGCTTCACTGCTTGCTGTAATGACTATAAATAAACTCCTGGGACTGAAGCTGAGGGTTGACTCCTCAGAGTGACCCTCCTGGCCCCACTTCTCTGTAAGAGTTGTGTTTGGTTACTGTCTCCGCCGTCCCAACATTCACCGCTGCTGCGACAGATGATGCCCCATGTGAGGGTGCTGTAGACATACTCGCACTCAATCCCTGAAGATGGTAAGTACAGGACACGTCCATTTCGGGCTGCTCTTACAGCCACGGGAGCGGCGGGGCTTTTCCGCGGGGAACTTTCCCGGACGTTCTCATCTCGGGCTGCTATCGCCCCGGGAGCGGTGGGGCTTTCTTGTACGCTCCCTTAAGGGATTTCAGGCTTCGGGCCAGGAGCCTTCCTATCATTCTTTCCTTCATTTTCCTATTCCTCCTCGCTATGGGGAATTGTCTTTCTTCTGAACAGCGTCAACACAAAACCCAGTTGTTAGGATTGTTAAAGGCCTCTAAGCTTAAGGTGTCAGAAGAAGCTTTTACCCAACTTCTGCTTTTAATTGAGTCTGCCTGTCCTTGGTATCCCTTGCGGGGAAACCTTGATGTAGAAGCATGGGAACGTATCGGTAACACCATTCATGACATGAACATCCCAGCTTCATTCCTTATTGCTTGGCATCACTGTCGCCTTGCCCTGCAGCCTTTACAGGCAGCTCCTTCGGCTCCCTCCCTTAGCAAAGAAAATGTCCATAACCCTCCATCTTCTGTACCTATTGAAGCTGAGTCCCCACAGTATAAGCCAATTATGGAACGATGTTTGCGAGAGGGCCATGAGAAAGAAGGGTTTTCTGCTTATCCTGTCATTCAGGGATCGGGACCGCCCCGTCATGATGGCCTTGGCTTTCAAGCTTTTAAGGAACTTTGTAAAAGCATGATAGAGAATGGTTTACAATGTTCCTTTACAAAAGGGATTGTGGAAGGTTTAGGACAATGCTTTGAAATGACCTCCTGGGACTGGAATCTCCTAATGCGAACAGTTTTAACTCCTGCTCAATTCAGTGTATGGAGTCAAGAGTACAAGAAGCATTGTAACCTTTATGCCGTAGACAATCTTAACCATAATATCCCTGTTAGTCTTGACATGCTCCTGGGTGTTGGGAATTATTCCACTCCCCAGGCCCAGAGTCAGATGAATAGACAAGCATTCAGTCAAGCCTCCGATGCTGCCTCCAAAGCCTGGAGTAAAATCCCTGATTCCAGAATGCCCACCGGCTCATTTGCCACTATTCGCCAAGTGGCAAACGAGCCTAACATTGACTTTATCAAACGGTCTCCAAACGGCCATTTCCCAACAGGTAGATAACCAACAAGCAGCTGAAGTTCTTTGTCTCCAGCTTGCTTACGAAAATGCTAATGCTGACTGTCGGGCTGTTTTAGCTCCCTTAATGGCACAGAGTCTTAATCTAGCTGAAATGATTAGAGCATGTCAAAATGTTGGCACAGAAACTCATAAGGCACAAGTATTAGCGGCAGCTCTCCGTCCATCCACTGCCACCTGTTTTGGGTGTGGTAAACCTGGACATTTTAAGAAGAACTGTCACAGTTTAAAAAACAAAAATGCCAACACTAAATTTCCAACCCGAAAGTGTTCCCGCTGTGGTAAAGGCGGTCACTGGGCTAAGCGGTGCAGATCTCAATTTAACAATCAAGGCAACCCTATGTCGGGAAACAGGAAGAGGGGTGAGAGCTCTCACGTCCCGAAAAATCCAGAGGGCCCCCGAGTGTGGAGTGTGGAAACCACAGCATAGATTCCAAACAACGACGCTTACAGGTTAACAACTTAAAAGCAGCTACTGAAGGGAGTGCAAGACTAGATTTACCCTTGGCAGAAGGTGTCATAATAGATGAGGCAGGAAAAGTTTTTCTTATAGCAACACAAGTTTATCCTGCCTCGAGGATATTTAGGACTCCTAATGGGTCGCTCTAGTATTACATCTCAAGGTCTAACTGTTCATCCTGGTGTAATAGATTCTGATTATGAAGGACAAATTAAAACTATGGTTTCCAGTCTCTCTTATTGGAACATTACTCCCTCTGATAAGATAGCACAGCTAATTTTACTTCCCTTTGTAGTCCCCTCCGCTCCCACTACCCCAAGACGGGCTGGGGGTTTCGGCAGTACTGACACTTTTTGGGTTACTAAGTTACAATCTTCCCGACCATATCTTACTGTTCAGGTCAATGATGGCGTGTTTAAAGGGCTCATGGATTCTGGGGCAGATGTAACTATCTTCTCCTCTGATTCCTGGCCCTCTTCTTGGCCCAAGAAGCAGACCGCTGAAACCCTTGCCGGAGTTGGAGGAGCACAGTGTCCTTTGCAAAGTACACTTCCCATTGTTTGCTACAGTCCTGATGGGCAGCCTGCTTCTATATGTCCCTTTATCCTTCCTTTACCTACTATATTATGGGGACGAGATTTACTCTCCCAGTGGAATGTTCATATTGGCGCCCCTCAGGATTTTTCATAGGGGCCACTGCTCAAAAAGACCCTCTGTTAAAATGAACCTGGATACCTGGCTCTCCTGTTTGGGTTCAGCAGTGGCAGCCCTTGGAATACACCTATTTTCTCTGTCCCTAAAAAATCCAAAAAATGGAGACTCCTTCATGACTTAACAGGCTGTTAATCAACGTCTTGTCCCTATGGAACCTCTCCAACCAGGAATTCCCAATCCAGCCTGTATTCCTCAAACATATCATATTATTATTATTGATCTTAAAGATTGTTTTTTACCATTCCACTCCATCCTGATGATTGTGCTAAATTTGCCTTCTCAGTTCCTTCTATGAATAATTGTCATCCTATGCAGTATTATGAGTGGACTGTTCTCCCACAGGGCATGGTCAATAGTCCAACTATCTGTCAATATTATGTTGATAAGGCTCTTAAGCCAGTCC